GGGGACTTCCCTGACCGGGAATCGAACCCGGGCCACGGCGGTGAAAGCGCCAAATCCTGACCACTAGACCATCGGGGACACACAATCATCAATATTTTTTTGGCCATCATTTTTTTTTTTGCCATTTTTAAATGCTATCACTTTTAATCATATTTCCTGCCAATTTCCAGTAATGTCTTTTTAAATATCTAGAAGAGCAAAACTCAAATTATATTACTTTTGGAAAACTCTATTGTATTAAAGTTTTCTGCACTCCCAGCATTGACCTTGATGTGACTTGAACACACAACCTTCTGATCTGGAGTCAGATGTGCAACCGTTGCGCCACAAGGTCTTATATGAGGATTTCTGGAAGAAGGCTCATAACGATCCAGAAAAAATCAGAATCTAGTGGATCAATAACTTCTTGTCGTGTATCAAAAATATTAAAGGGGACTTCCCTGACCGGGAATCGAACCCGGGCCACGGCGGTGAAAGCGCCGAATCCTGACCACTAGACCATCAGGGACACACAATCATCAATATTTTTTTGGCCATTATTTTTTTTTTGCCATTTTAAAATGCTATCACTTTTAATCATATTTCCTGCCAATTTCCAGTAATGTCTTTTTGATTATCTAGAAGAGCAAAACTCAAATTATATTACTTTTAGAAAACTTTATAGTATTAAAGTTTTCTGCACTCCCAGCATTGATCTTGATGTGACTAAAAGTTTTCTGAACTCCCAGCAATGACCTTGATGTGACTTGAACACACAACCTTCTGATCTGGAGTCAGACACGCTACCGTTGCGCCACAAGGTCTTATTATGATAATTTATTGAAGAAGGCTCATAACGATCCAGAAAAAAATCTGAATCTATTGGATCAGTATCATGTTGTACTGTAAAAAAAATATTAAAAGTCACTTCCCTGACCGGGAATCGAACCCAGGCCGCGGCGGTGAGAGCACCGAATCCTGACCACTAGACCATCAGGGACACACGACCTCATTGTTTTTTGGCCATTTTTTTAGTCATTTTTAAATGCTATCACTTTTAATCATATTGATTTGGACACACAACCTTCTGATCTGGAATCAGATGCACTACCGTTGCACCACAAGGTCTTATATGAGGATTTCTGGAAGAAGGCTCTTAACGATCCAGAAAAAATCAGAATCTAGTGGATCAGTAACTTCTTGTCGTGTAACAAAAATATTAAAGGGAACTTCCTTGACCGGGAATCCAACCAGGGCAATGGCGGTGAGAGCGCCGAATCCTGACCACTAGACCATCAGGGACACACAACCTCATTGTTTTTTGGCCATTTTTTTGTCATTTTTAAATGCTATCACTTTTAATCATATTGATTTGGACACACAACCTTCTGATCTGGAATCAGATGTGCTACCGTTGCACCACAAGGTCTTATATGTGGATTTCTGGAAGAAGGCTCATAACGATCCAGAAAAAAATCAGAATCTAGTGGATCAATAACTTCTTGTCGTGTATCAAAAATAATAAAGGGAACTTCCCTGACCGAGAATCGAACCTGGGCCACAGCAGTGAAAGCGCAGAATCCTAACCACTAGACCATCAGGGACACACAATCATCACTTTTATTCATATTTCCTGCCAATTTCCAGTAATGTCTTTTTAAATATCTAGAAGAGCAAAACTCAAATCATATTACTTTTAGAAAACTTTTTAATATTAAAGTTTTCTGAACTCCCAGCATTGACCTTGATGTGACTTGAACACACAACCTTCTGATCTGGAGTCAAAAGCACTACCGTTGCGCCACAAGGTCTTATTATGATATTTTATTGAAGAAGGCTCATAACGATCCAGAAAAAAATCTGAATCTATTGGATCAGTATCATGTTGTCCTGTATAAAAAATATTAAAAGTCACTTCCCTGACCGGGAATCGAACACGGGCCGCGGCGGTGAGAGCGCCGAATCCTGACCACTAGACCATCAAGGACACACAATCATCACTATTTTTTTGGCCATCATTTTTTGCCATTTTTAAATGCTATCACTTTTAATCATATTTCCTGCCAATTTTCAGTAATGTCTTTTTAAATATCTAGAAGAGCAAAACTCAATTTATATTACTTTTAGAAAAATTTTTAGTATTTGTGACTTGAACACACAACCTTCTGATCTGGAGTCAGACGGCTACCGTTGCGCCACAAGGTCTTATAATGATATTTTATTGAAGAAGGTTCATAACGATCCAGAAAAAAATCAGAATCTAATGGATCAGTATCATGTTGTCCTGTATAAAAAATATTAAAAGTCTCTTCCCTGACCGGGAATCGAACCCGGGCCGCGGCGGTGAGAGCACCGAATCCTGACCACTAGACCATCAAGGACACACAACCTCACTGTATTTTGGCCATTTTTTGTCATTTTTAAATGCTATCACTTTTAATCATATTGATTTGGACACACAACCTTCTGATCTGGAATCAGATGCACTACCGTTGCACCACAAGGTCTTATATGAGGATTTCTGGAAGAAGGCTCATAATGATCCAGAAAAAATCAGAATCTAGTGGATCAATAACTTCTTGTCGTGTATCAAAAATATTAAAGGGAACTTCCTTGACCGGGAATCCAACCAGGGCCATGGCGGTGAAAGCGCCGAATCCTAACCACTAGGCCATCAGGGACACACAATCATGAATATTTTTTTCGGCCATCGTTTTTTTTTGCCATTTTTAAATGCTAACACTTTTATTCATATTTCCTGCCAATTTCCAGTAATGTCTTTTTAAATATCTAGAAGAGCAAAACTCAAATCATATTACTTTTAGAAAACTTTTTAATATTAAAGTTTTCTGAACTCCCAGCATTGACCTTGATGTGACTAAAAGTTTTCTGCACTCCCAGCATTGACCTTGATGTGACTTGAACACACAACCTTCTGATCTGGAGTCAGATGCGCAACCGTTGCGCCACAAGGTCTTATTATGATATTTTATTGAAGAAGGCTCATAACAATTCAGAAACAAATCTGAATCTATTGGATCAGTATCATGTTGTCCTGTATAAAAAATATTAAAAGTCACTTCCCTGACCGGGAATCGAACCCGGGCCGCGGCGGTGAGAGCGCCGAATCCTGACCACTAGACCATCAGGGACACACAACCTCATTGTTTTTTGGCCATTTTTTTGTCATTTTTAAATGCTATCACTTTTAATCATATTGATTTGGACACACAACCTTCTGATCTGGAATCAGATGTGCTACCGTTGCACCACAAGGTCTTATATGTGGATTTCTGGAAGAAGGCTCATAACGATCCAGAAAAAAATCAGAATCTAGTGGATCAATAACTTCTTGTCGTGTATCAAAAATATTAAAGGGAACTACCCTGACCGAGAATCGAACCCAGGCCACGGCAGTGAAAGTGCAGAATCCTAACCACTAGACCATCAGGGACACACAATCATCAATATTTTTTCGGCCATCATTTTTTTTGCCATTTTTAAATGCTATCAGTTTTAATCACATTTCCTGCCAATTTCCAGTAATGTCTTTTTGATTATCTAGAAGAGCAAAACTCAAATTACATTACTTTTAGAAAACTCTATAGTATTAAAGTTTTCTGCACTCCCAGCATTGACCTTGATGTGGCTTGAACACACAACCTTCTGATCTGGAGTCAGATGCGCAACCGTTGCGCCACAAGGTCTTTTTATGATATGTTATTGAAGGCTCATAATGATCCAGAAAAAATCAGAATCTAGTGGATCAATAACTTCTTGTCGTGTATCAAAAATATTAAAGAGGACTTCCCTGACCAGGACTCGAACCCGGGCCACGGCGGTGAAAGCGCCAAATCCTGACCACTAGACCATCAGGGACACACAATCATCAATATTTTTTTGGCCATCATTTTTTTTTGCCATTTTTAAATGCTATCACTTTTAATCATATTTCCTGCCAATTTCCAATAATGTCTTTTTGATTATCTAGAAGAGCAAAACTCAAATTATATTACTTTTAGAAAACTCTATATTATTAAAGTTTTCTGCACTCCCAGCATTGACCTTGATGTGACTTGAACACACAACCTTCTGATCTGGAGTCAGACGCGCAACCGTTGCGCCACAAGGTCTTATTATGGTATTTTATTGAAGAAGGCTCATAACGATTCAGAAACAAATCTGAATCTATTGGATCAGTATCATGTTGTCCTGTATAAAAAATATTAAAAGTCACTTCCCTGACCGGGAATCGAACCCGGGCCGCGGCGGTGAGAGCGCCGAATCCTGACCACTAGACCATCAGTAACACACGACCTCATTGTTTTTTGGCCATTTTTTAGTCATTTTTAAATGCTATCACTTTTAATCATATTGATTTGGACACACAACCTTCTGATCTGGAATCAGATGCGCTACCGTTGCACCACAAGGTCTTATATGTGGATTTCTGGAAGAAGGCTCATAATGATCCAGAAAAAAAAATCAGAATCTAGTGGATCAGTAACTTCTTGTCGTGTAACAAAAATATTAAAGGGAACTTCCTTGACCGGGAATCCAACCAGGGCCATGGCGGTGAAAGCGCCGAATCCTAACCACTAGACCATCAGGGACACACAATCATATATTTTATCGAATATTTTTTCGGCCATCGTTTTTTTTTGCCATTTTTAAATGCTAACACTTTTATTCATATTTCCTGCCAATTTCCAGTAATGTCTTTTTGATTATCTAGAAGAGCAAAACTCAAATTATATTACTTTTATAAAACTCTATAGTATTAAAGTTTTCTGCACTCCCAGCATTGACCTTGATGTGACTAAAAGTTTTCTGAACTCCCAGCAATGACCTTGATGTGACTTGAACACTCAAGCTTCTGATCTGGAGTCAGACGCGCTACCGTTATGCCACAAGGTCTTATTATGATATTTTATTGAAGAAGGCTCATAACGATCCAGAAAAAAATCAGAATCTAGTGGATCAGTATCTTGTTGTCGTGTATAAAAAATATTAAAAGTAACTTCCCTGACCGGGAATCGAACTTGGGCCGCGGCGGTGAGATCACTGAATCCTGACCACTAGACCATCAGGTACACACAACCCTCACTGTTTTTTTGCCATTTTTAAATGCTATCTTTTAAAATCATATTGATTTGGAAACACAACCTTCTGATCTGGAATCAGATGCACTACCGTTGCACCACAAGGTCTTATATGAGGATTTCTGGAAGAAGGCTCATAACGATCCAGAAAAAAATCAGAATCTAGTGGATCAGTCTCTTGTTGTCGTGTATCAAAAATATTAAAGGGAACTTCCCTGAACGGAAATCGAACCTGGGCCACGGCGGTGAAAGCGCCAAATCCTGACCACTAGACCATCAGGGACACACAATCATGAATATTTTTTCGGCCATCATTTTTTTGCCATTTTTAAATGCTATCACTTTTAATCATACTTCCTGGCAATTTCCAGTAATGCCGTTTTGATTATCTAGAAGAGCAAAACTCAAATCATATTACTTTTAGAAAAGTTTTTAGTATGAAAGTTTTCTGCACTCCCAGCATTGACCTTGATGTGACTTGAAAACACAGCTTTCTGATCTGGAGTCTGACGCACTACCATTGCACCACTAGGTCTTGTATAGGAACGTCTGGAAGAAGGCTGATAACGATCCAGAAAATCAGAATCTTGTGGATCAGTATGTTGTCGTGTTTTAAAAATATTAAAAGGAACTTCCCTGACTGGAAGTCGAACCTGACCACTAGACCATCAGGGACACACAATCCTTGTTATTTTTTTGGCCATCATTTTTTTTTGCCACTTTTAAATGCTATCAGTTTTTTATCATATTTCCTGCCAATTTCCAGTAATGCCGTTTTGATTATCTAGAAGAGCAAAACTTAAATTATATTACTTTTAGAAAACTTTTTAAAATTTATGTTTCTTCGCTTCCAGCATTGACAGTGATGTGACTTGAACACACAACCTTCTGATCTAGAATCAGACGTGCTACCTTTGCACCACAAAGTCCTTTAATGAAGTTTTATTGAAGAAGGCTGATAACAATTCACATAAAAACTAGATTCTGGTGGATCAGTATCTTGTTGTCGTGAACCAAAAATATTAAAAGGAACTTCCCTGAGCGGGAATCAAAACCAGGCCACGGTGGTGAGAGTGCCGAATTCTGAAAACTAGAACATCAGGGACACACAATCCTCACAATATTTTTGACCTTTATGTTTGTTTTGCAATTTTTAGATGCTATCAATCGTAATTATTTTTCCTGGCATTTTCTAGAAATGCCGTTTTAATAATCTTGAAGGGCGAAATGCAAGATATATTGCTTTTAGAACATTTAAAAAAAATTAGTTCACTGCACTCTCACCCTTGACCTTGATGCAATTTGAGCACACAACTGGCTGATTTGGTATCAGCCACGCTACCATTGCGCCACAAGGTCTTATTTTGAGGCTTTTTTGAAGAAGACTCATAACGATCCAGAAAAAAACCCAGAATCTATTAGATCAGTATCTTTTTGTCGTGTTCCAAAAAGATTACTAGTAACTTCCCTGACCTGGAATCGAACCCAGGCTGCGAAAGCGAGATCACTGAATCCTGACCACTAGACCATCAGGGACACACAATCCTCATGATTTTTTTGGCCATTATGTTTTTTTTGTTGCCATTTTTAAATGCTATCACTTTTCATCATTTTTCTTGGCAATTTCCAGTAATGTCATTTTGATTATCTAGAAGAGCAAAAATCAAATTACATTACTTTTAGAAATTTTTTAATATTAATGTTTCTCCTTTTTCAGCCCTGACTTTGATGTGATTTGAACACAAGACCTTCAAAACTGCAGTCAGACGCGCTACCATGGCACTACAAAGTCACATTATGAAATTTTATTGAAGAAGGCTAATAAGGATCCACATAAAAACTAGATTCTATTGAATCAGTATCTTGTTGTTGTGTACCAAAGTTATTACAAGTAACTTCCCTGACTCAGAATCAAACCCAAGCTCTCACCGAATCCTGACCACTAGGCATCAGGGACATACACACCTCATGATTGTTTTGTTTTCTTTGCAATTTTAAGATGCTATCACTCTTAATTATTTTTCCTGGCATTTTCTAGAAATGCCATTTTGATAATCTTGAAGAGCAAAATGCAAGATAAATTGCTTTTAGAACATTTAAAAAAAATTAGTTCACTGCACTCTCACCGTTGACCTTGATGTGATTTGAACACAAGACCTTCAAAACTGCAGTCAGACGCGCTACCATGGCACTACAAAGTCACATTATGAAATTTTATTGAAGAAGGCTAATAAGGATCCACATAAAAACTAGATTCTATTGAACACTCAACCTTTTGATCTGGATACCATTGTGCCACAAGGTTATATTATAAAGACTTATTGAAGAAGAATCATAACGATCCACATAAAAATTAGTTTTAGTGGATCAGTATCTTCCCTGACCGTGAATCGAACACATCCACCCCCCACTCCGCGGGACCCGACCACAGCGCGGGCGCGGACAGGCCCACCATCAGGCGGCCGCGAAGGCAACTACACCCGCGAGCACGGGCCCCAGAGGCCCTCCCCACACCGCCCGAGAGGCCAATCGGGCCATACGGAGCACACCGACCCCCCGCCACCCGGGCACCCCCCCAACCCCCTAACCACAGAGCCCCCCGCAGAAGCAGCCGGAACCCGGCAGTGCAAGAGCAGTAGCACCCCCGGGGGACAGGACCACAAACTACATGCCGTCCCAGAGGAGAGGGCAGTCCCGCCCGAAGCACACCCATCCAAAAGAAGGAACCGGTTATCTGTTGAGATCCTCTAACTAAGATTCAGAGGAATAGGGGAATTAATAAGAAGTGACAAATATCAATTATTTATGTGAAGGCAGACAAAGTTTCTGGGGTGAGATAGTTCAATAAGATGTTGTTATAATGAGTGATGCTTAGTTTTTTTTTAGTTTTCCAGTTCATAAGAATAGTTTTCTTTGCTACAGGCATTGCAGTGAGAATTAATAGTGATGCCACACCCTCAGGAAGGTCATGCATGATGTCAGATTAATAGTTGTTGGGGACATTAAAACTAACTTGTTCAGAGATGAATTCTTCTATAAACCATACGGACATTTATAACAATACGATTGCGAGTTGTCCTGAAGAGATTGACAGTGCTTTTCATATATTTCTTTGGGTTGAAGAGTCACTTTGGAATCATCTTCAGTGTATAAAGTTTGTGAATGCCTCTTTTCAATTAAACAAAGTCTACAAAAGTGATGGCTATTAAACGACTCATTAAAACCCAAAATGGAATGCATGTCGAGATTGTCACCAGTAATCTGCACAATAGTGCCATATACATGCTCATCTGAAATTCTTATTGTGATGCTGGTGTGGTGTTTTCTCCTCTGGATTTGAAAATTGAATGTATTTATTAAATATTTATTAGTTGTGGTTCCCTCGAGTCAGTTTATAATAGTTGTGTCAGGACAAGACGGTGTTGAACTGAAAGGGGGAGTGGGTAAAGGATTGGGGAAGGGTGAAGGTACACGAGTGAAAATGAAAGAAAGGAAGAGGAAAAAAAGAAGAGAGGAAAAATAATAATAATAATAATAATAATAATAATAATTTAGAAGAGAAGAAAAAAAAAGCAAATGAATAAAATAACATAAATAAATACCTACCTGAACATGACGCATAAGTCCTAGTAACAGTTCATTTTGTCCATGTCCGTTTGTTATAGTTCATGTAAAACAGTTATTGCAGTTTGTATATTCAGACACACATGTTTAAATATTCATACATACACAGCCAATCTTTTAAGTGAGGTGATAATAATGTTGTACGGTTTAAAATGTAACTCAGCTACATTGGAGGAAAAATACATAACATATCAAAGAAACCACACATATCTAACAAACAAACAATTGCAGCACATGGTGCCCAGGGACAGCAGACCCAACCCACCAGTGGTATCACCCCACAACTTCCCACGTATCACCCTCACTCCTCTATGCCTGAGTGCGCTGCGAGGTCCGACACAGAACCGGCTCTGCAACCAGACCGATGTAACCTGGTGGATCATTCCACCCCCCGTGGGTCGACATGACCGCATCCCACCCCACCCCACCGGGAACCATCAGCACCCCCAGAGAGAAATGCCCCGCGCCCTGAAGCGAGACAGCGGGGATGCGCCCGCCACAGCGGGGGGGGCGGCCCACCCGACAGCGGCCAGGCCAGCCCACCCGACAGCACGGGGAGGCCCCAGCAGGACCAGAAGAGGGCAGAGAGGGAGACCGCACCAGGCGCAGCGGAGTCACCCCCCCAGCCACAACCCGGCCCCGCACCCACCACGACCAGCAGCCTCAGACCCTCCCCCCCTCCCCCAGTCATCAATCCATTCAACAATCATTCCATTCATACATCCATTCATACTCGAAGGGCGGTCAGTCACCGTCCAGTGGACCCGCGCCCACCCAGGGATCCCACGAGCCCGCGCTGACGGAGGGCATATACCCACCCCGGACGGAAGACAGACACGGCCGCCCACCCACTGCCCATCATCTGCCCCCAGTTGGAGTGTAGTGTATGTGTTTGTGTATATGTTGAAGAGATAAGTTGCATTAAAACTGGGGAGTGATGTCCTGGAGCGTCACCGTTGGTTGACAGCTGACGTCCAGGCACCACCCCCCATTCCCTGCGTGTCTAATATGTATGTAAAATAAGAGGGCAGTCAACTCCGCCCTAGAATTTTGGGGGGGCCACAAATCTGCAGCCCCACCCATCAGATGTGGTAACCTGTTCTGACCTGTGACCACAAACAGAATTCAAACACCAAGTGCCAACTCAACAAACCTCTGAGAGCAAGAGTATCAGTGCAGGTGCCATCTTCAAGTCTGAGGGGCTAGCAGAGCAACACATGAGATCACTGTGACATGATGACAACGCTTGAGAGGTGTCAGTTCCTGAGGTGATCCTCATACCAGTTCCTGAGGTGGTTCCAAACATCCGAGGGTTCCCTGTGGCAGTTGCTGAGGTGGTCAAGGTGCAAGTTCTATGCTAAGTGCTGTGGGGGTTTCGACGCAGATCCAGTGACTCTATAGCCCAAGACAAGTGTTAGCCCAGTGCCTGTGGGGCTCCAATGTGAAAGTTTCGGAGATGGGTTTTGTGGCATACCCCTTTAAATGCACCAGATCTGACCTGTGATCACCATCACCATGCTTCCCTGCCACCCAAACACCTGCAGTTCCACTTGCCCTCACCAAGATTTCCAATTTGTGCATCACCACTATGACTTCTCCTGCTGACACAGCCCAAAACCTCAGACAACTGCAGATACAAGGTCTCAGCATCTTCAAACATCGAAAACCTTAAATTCCTATATGATCAAAAGAGGTCAACTGTACGCTCAGCATTTCCCAGAACCACTCTTGTTTTTTGCAAATGAACTGATAAAACCAAAGCCTGCAAGGAAAGAATTTTTATTTTTCCATTTGTTTTTTTGTTCTGTTTTGGTTTTCATTCTGATTGGATTGTAAATGACAGTCTTGAAGGCGAAATGAAACTGAATTTGGAGTCAAGCTGGTGAAATCTATGTTATTTTTATTTATCTACTAATTTACTAATCCTATGAGTATTTTGGTGTACTTTTGGAAATATCTTGGTGATAAATGGAATGAATGCAAATGATTGCCTTCAAAAAAGGAAAATGTTAGTCAATATACCGGTAATTTGAGAGTAGACAGCACAGGAAAAGAGAAAACTTCAAAGAAAAAAATTAAAAGGGGTTGTTTTAAAAAAAAAGTGCATTTACACTTTATTTCAGTAAAGGTGTGGGAATACTAAAGGAAAACTCTAAATTTTAGTGAAAAAAAAATTTGAAAATAGGTGAATTATTAGAATGAATTTGACAAACTAATCTGGGTTAGAAATTTTAAACCACAGATAGACATTGAGGCAATAAGTGGTGTGTAAAATCAGAAATTCACAGAAGTTGAAATCCATTGCACCTTGTCTACTGTGAGAGGTTGTTTTGAATGATAAATGAAATACAGTGATGCACTTTTACTACTAACATATTAATAGATGAGACATTAAGTCTGAGGACTTGCATTATTTTACATACACACGTGAAGAATGCAATGATAACATAAAAAACATAAAAATCGTTTGACTAAAGGAAGAAAAGAACAATAGATAAAAATAGAAACAATTAAGATTACACATTCTGAAAACAAGGTAAAGCAGAAATCTATGGGGTTAAATAAAGAGTAATGAGAGAATCATATAAAAAATGGATAGCAGATGAGTTCTACAATGAGACTACAGAAAAGAAAATAAATCTGATAATGAAGCTAAAGCATTTATTTTGCTCTTTGACAAAAATTACTATTGGAGGAGATTTGTAGAACTGATCTGAGGCTAACCGATGACTGTAAAATAGAAACCTATGAACTTCACGAAAATTCATAGATCTGACTGAGATTTTATTGAAGCTAAGGGAAAATCTTTACAAAATTTAAGTGATAAAATGGTACATAAATTTTAGTGCAGAAGAATATTTGCTTAAGAACCTATTCTTCTTAGTTTTAGGAACTACTCTGACTTGACCTTTAGTCCTCATTTTTATTTTTGGATCCATTTATTTTATTTATTTTTTATTTTGAGAGCTCATCAATTATATATTTGTTCATTTCTTTTTGAAACTGATCATGGCGAATGATATTAAGTTTCTTTTAAGAAACGGGAACAAATTAAATATATATATATATTTAGGCCAATTTGAGTTGGATAAAAAAAATTTTTTAAAAGAAAACAAATTTACAATGAATAGTTGTGACGTTGAGAAATTTTTCCTCTCATTTTTTTAA